TATTGTACATCCTCTTCAGGTACTGTTGACTCTGAGGGTGTATGGACTTTGTCTAAGTAGGATTTCTGAAACCTGTTCTAATCCTGCAAACTCTGTATATGCTTGGGTGTCTTTCATTGCATTGTTACCGTGTATTTCATGTGCCTAGAAACAGAAATGGGACACAAGACAACTGCCAATGAGCAGGTTGGCCACTGAAAGCAACATTTGGTTTTGTTTGCTTTGCCTCCTTGGTCTAAACAGAGAAAACTCATCCCAAATTCCTTGTGAGACAACTGCAGGGAGCAATTTTCCCCAGAGAAATGGATTCTGGTGAAGCCTTTTAAGTCCAAGCTTGGGAAAACTAAAGGATTCTGGGGACTGAATAAGGAAATGAGACAAGTTTAACAGAGGAAGCAGGTACATTTTCAAGGAATGAAGGAGGGACCAGCCAGAGCTAGAAGGAAACCTCGTGTAAAACGTACAGGCTGTGAATGAACTACTGCAGGGGCCCTGTGGTCCTTTGCTACACGGTACCTTTGACCTAAGTCTATGCTGCTGTTGAAAGGGATGAGCCTACTCAAGTCTCTACATCCTCCTGGTTCATTCCCACCACCTCTTCTGTGCTCACAGCAAGAATTATGCTGCTGAATGGTAGATGAATCAAAGAACTGATCTGCTGAAAAAAAATCTGGAAAGTGGAGAGAGGCAAGGGAGTGTCAAAAATATGATGCAGAAGTCTTTAACTTGAATGATCATTTAACCACAGCAAGGCCCACTTTGCTTTTCAAAGTACTCTGTTGATGCAACATCCTGGAGTGCAAGGGGAATGAGCATCTCTTTGCAGGCAATAATCTGAATTGTTGTGCTTGGGGTTTTTCCTTGGACAAATGATGATGTTTGCTAATGGGTTAATTATCGTGCATCTAAACAACCTCCTAGGTGATGCAGTAATAGAATTATTAACATTCTTTATGTAATGAATTAAGCTGATCTGGATTTCCTCTCCCATGTTTTGTGAACTTCTGGTTTATGAAGAAGTTAGAGAAGAAATGCAGGTGAACTAATATAACTATTTCAGTGGTAAAGGTCCTCTAAAATTGGAATACAGCATTCTTCTAGAAGGGGAAATGTACAATATTCCAAAACCCTTTAATATGAGACATAGAACTCACGTCTTGTAATTCTTCAATGCATGCTTTCCCAGCATTAAGATACTGAACAAAATTAGCATAATCATTTTCATATTCTTTATATCATAGAATGGTTATGAATAGAAGGGACCTTAAAGATCATCTAGCTCCAGCTGCCATGGGTGGTTACTCTGTGTGTGGAGGTCAGTCATGTTGTTCTATGCTAGGCATATGGAATAAAACCCTGGGGATTTGGGTATGACATAAACATGTAGCACCTCAACTGTCATTGATGGCAGAAAATCTGGTGAATGAAGCACAAGGGCGGCCTGACAAACTTGACCAGTGCAAACTCAAGCTTTCTGAGATAAGAAGGAAGTTTAGAGGCTTGACATCTTGCTGCCCAGATGTCCCTGCCTTGGCTGAAAAAAAAATGCTGACTGTTCTCTTTAAGGTCTTTCAGCTGAAGAACTTCATGAGATGCATTTCAACATGACCCTAAATTCTGACTGAAGGTACATTTTTCATGAATATTAGAAATGGTGCAAAACAACGTTCTAAGGTCTGGAGGACAATGAAAACCAGCTTGAATTGAGCCAGGCCCAAACTTTCTGTACTTCAGATGCTGACAGTTCTTTACTTCCTCGCCATAGGACAAAATAAGGCAATATAATAAATCATGTGTTCCCCAAAGACCCTTAAAAGACATTGTGCAAACTCAAGGATTTTATCTTAGTCAAAAATGTAAAACCAGGCCCAAGCCCTGACTATCCAGTTACTTTCTGTCACTGTCAATTCCTTTAGCTCTTCCTTTTTTTCTTTGAAAATGTGAAATTTATTTTATTAAAAAAAAAAAAAAAGTTCTTATTTTTCACTGACTCCTGCATCTGGCTGTGACGACTCATGCAAGCCTGGAAAATAATTTGGTTACAGTGCTTTCAGAAAGTTCTCTGGTGAAATGCATATGTCTGTAGGATCCACATGATACTTACTGCTGGATAGACAAAGCTGCACAAAATACAGATTCCCTTGTAGTAGAAGACACTACAGCCTATGACACTTGAACAATAAATTTTCTTATAGTGCCTAATTACTTTCTTGCCACCTGAAAGTAGAAAGCTGTAAGTCACAGGGGCAGTATGTCATTGCAAAGCAGGGCAGTGCTGCAAGCCATGTGCATCAGCTAAACTGGCTGCAACACCTGTTGGGGACTGCTCTGCCCCACCACGGGTGCTTGGCTTGACCTGTGGCTGCTTCTGTTTTGTCTTTAGCCCCCTCTGCTCCCCTTCTATTTGTCCTTAGCCTCTCTCTTGGCATTAGTCTTTAAAATACTCTTGATAATTTTCTGAATTCAATATATTCTGTTGTGGATTGTACTGTCACAGAAATGTATATTTTAATAGCCATGATACTCATCCAGGAATAAAAATAGTCATCTTATGATGATGTAAGATCACTTAATTGCACAGGAGGAGCTTTTTAAACGGAATATTTTTTTTATGTGGGATGTGAATCCACAAAGAAAACAACTATGATGGGAGTATTCCCCTTGATCCAAGCCTGATAAATGTCAGCAAGAGTTATGAACATGCTAAAATTGAAAAGCAAAACCTACTGTATGAAATTAAACTGTCCAAACAATCTTATGAGGAGACAATGACTTAAGAGGAGTTCAGTAGATCAATTTTGCTCTGAGTAAGTGAAGACAGTGGCTTTGGCATTGTTACCCTGGAAATCCCATAACTGCTCTTATGTCCAGCTGCACACCTATAATATCTCTGGGGACTAAACAGGTGAACTGAGATTGTAATTTGAGAATGAAACATCTTTCTCTGAAGTCCAACTGGGTTGTCTCTTGATCTTGGTTCTTTCAGCTCTAAATGTAAAGGTCCTCAAGCTAAGAGGAGTTTCAGGGTTTTCACACAGATTTGGATGCTGTACAGCATCATTACCTAGTGCTGGTTTCTATGGGATTGAATGTTTTTAGCACTACTAATAATTAGTTCACTTAAAGATGTACAGGTCAACTTTTTGAATGTTTCCAAATACTTTTTTCCCCTATCTGTTTTAAGTATTTAAGAATCGGGAGGTACAATATTCTTTTTATGCAGAGATGATTGAAAAACTCAGTCCTTCCAGGATTTTTTACCATGGAATTGGGATCAGCAGTGTTGTGAATCTTCCAAGCAGGGAGATTTTGAAAAGGTCCTAGAATTTAACTTCAGTGCTGGAAAATTTAATGGGTAAAATTTACACTGAAACTCCATGGTAATGGACACGCATGCAAAATATAGCGTACTGTTTGCCTGAATTTTCAGCAAGCAGAGTACATCAACCCAGCTTTTTCCTGCATAAGTGTTTGAAAATGCAAAATGATCCTATGGATCAAATGTGAGGCTTCCTATTACGCACAGAGAGCTGCCACTATAAATTTTGCAGTAAAAGGTTAATGTCCTGTTTTACATCCCGTTAATGGTAATTGAAATCAAATCTATAACCTCTGTAGTATTCATTCAGAGTAAAACAAACCCCAGTGGGTTTCTGGATTCAATAGAGCATATTGAAATGGGCAGCTGGGTGTTCTGGTTGCTAAACTGCTTGCTGAGTTGAAAAGCAAAACAAAAACCCTCTTTGTGGTCTGAGTTAATACTTGAGTTATTTAAAGGGGGCATTGCAGGGATCATGGGTGACAGAGGATGCCACCAACTTCACGGATAAGCTCTCGAAGCCTGCTTTCTATTTTCTCTTATAAAGCACTCTGCATCCTTCTGTCAGATGGACTCTGAATTCATAAGTCTCTTGCTGTTCATTGTCCTTTTAGTGTTTGGTAGTAACTTCATATTACATATGCAACTCCAGCCCTGGCAAGATTAGAGCTATAATAAATGTCAGGCTTGCATTGTCCCTTTGTCTTTTAGACTTTAGGCTTTCTTCTAACAAAGGGAAACAAAAAAAGATATCTTCCCTCTTAACATTTAAGATATACTAGCCAATTAAATCTATGTAAATCATTAATGTTAGTATTTAAATGGTTTTGGTATTGCTATACTACCATCATATTAAACGATACTGCTTTATCTGTGAAAGTTAGTAATCCTTGGAAACTACCAGTGATATTAAGTCTTAATCTCTCCCAGATTTCTGGGGAAGCTTCACATAAGATATACCATATGTGCTCTGCACTTTACTGTTGGCTACATTTTGGAAATGCAGCCATCTTTATGTAGTCCTTCCTTATAATCTGAAAAGTGTGGAGTGAGTTACACCCAATGGACTTACGCTTTCAAAATTGTAAAACCATGCAAGTAACTAGAGTATGAATAATCGGGCTTGTGACTAGTTAGCCCTTTAGTTCTTTAAGTACAGTACAATGGACAGAACCATGTTAATGGAAAAGTAACATTTCTCAGCAAGTGGCAATATTTTAGATTAACTCAGGGCAGAAGGAAAAAGCAGCCTGTGCTATTCTCTACAGGAATATTAGCAGAGAACTTGATGTTCTTTCTTGTCAGAGGCTACAAATAAAAGTTAACTACAACAGACCATTGATTTATGTAACTGAAAACCTTGCTGCATTGTGCATAGAGCTATTAAGGAGAGAAAATACCAAGTTAGGAACAAGTGAAAACTCTCTGTAAACTCTTCCTTTTCTTCAACATTCTAAGCATCATATTATGGCCATAGAAACTATCTATGTCAATTTTTCTTTGTCAGTTTTGCTGTTTTGATAATGTAACCCAGAATACCCACAACTCCTATGATGGAGAAGGGCATTGCAAATTCACTTGACGATATGTCAAGCTTTTCAGCTGCCCTGGTCCCAGCAAAGCTTGGAGCAGTTTCTCCTGACAATGCAACACCAGTATCACACAGATGCTGAAGGGAGAGGGTGGTGGTGATGCTGACTACAGGAATGGTGTCAGGGGACTCTACCTCATGAATATACAACTGCTGGCAAGTGCAGCATGTCAGCTGCCCAGTGCTTAACCTTGGGTTAAATGGATGGGTTACCTCTTGAGTTGATGTAACTGAGCAAAAACTATTGCTACTCTATTTTGGTTGAGACAGTCAAAACTGAAAACTAGGTTGTTTTTTTTCTATCAGTGTTATCATGGACATGAATACTTTGACTGAATTGGGAAGTTTATGCTCATATGATGCTAGTTAGTGATGTAAAAATATGTAAGCATTATATGATAGGCATTGAGTGCATCATTCCTGTGAAATGCAGGAATGCCATCCTTATTCTTCATGCTCACAGTACCAGTCCATACATTATCTTTAAAGAGATTCTGTGTTTTCATATCTATTAAATTAATTTTGTAACAAATAGTTCAGTAGAGCTGAAGAAATGAAATGAGCAACAGATGGTCATTTTTTGCAGTGCTTTATCTCTGTGAATAACCATTATTGTTATCACTAATCTAGTCAGTACTTACAGTAAATGCTAAAGATGATACAGCAATGACTGATACAGTTGATTAATGGAACATAATTGAGATATTACAACTGCCAAGAAACAGTGAATTGCTTGGTAATCTGTTCTTGCCTGGGTAGCAAGTGTTTTGATACCTCCAAGAGAAAAGCCATAAATTTAGGTATAATGAATACTGAGAGGTTGGGTACAGGGCCCAGGAAAGTAGCATCATGATGTTCTGTCAGGGCTGTCCTCTAGGAGAGGATCTGGAAGTCCTGTGGGAGAATGGCATTGTGTTTTTCTCTGTTAGTAAAAGCCAAAATGCAAACTATCTTACTTTATCCAAGAAGAATATTGTCTCAAGCACATGAAGCACAGATGTCAACAGTACATTGATGTTGGAAACATCACTCAGATCAGACCAGTGTGGTGGGATGACATTTTGAGGGAATACCTCATTGAATTAAACCCTGCAGCTGGCCCACTCTTGGACTCTGCTCCCTACCTTACTTCTGGGCATCCCACTTAGAAGCACCCTGGCCAGGACTGCTGTGCACTGCCTCTTTAAGGTCCTCTCCACGGCTGGAGCACCAGGCGCAGGCAGCAATCCTCTGCTCGGCAGGGCTTGCAGTCGCTCACTGCTCTTTACTTAATAACATTTGGCTGCATATGAGACGTCTGACGGCAAGCTGAAGGCTTCCTTCTCGTGTGGCAGAGTTTCACCTGCCCCCATGGCAGCAGCGACAGGCTCTGCTGCAGTGAAAACTGCCAAGTCCTGCAAGAAGTATCGCACAGTGAAGCGGCACGCCAGCATCTACACCTACCAGGAGCCACCCCACAGGTAAGAGACTCTCCTCTCCTGAAGAGCAAATCTCCCTTATCTAGCCCAGAAATAGGATCTTGTCTTTTTACTTTGATGTAGACAGTGTGGTTTTTGTTTTAACATGGAAAGGAGCATGAGAAAATTCATTCTTTTCTCTGTCTTTAGATGTATTTCAATCCTCTTTTATTTTCACAAGAGTCATGTTCTATGCTGCAACATAAATGCTGTACATAAAACAATGTGACTCCAATGAGTTTGGGGTATAGCAGGGTAAGAAATCTCTCAATACTTTTCCTGTGTAATTGTACATTTCCCTCAAATATCCCCTGTGACTGAGGGGACAAGACTGTGTACTGGTGGTTAGTGGTCTGAGGAAGTATGTCATTGAATGTTCTTACAAGGCATGCTTTAGTTTATGATTTATTTTTAAGTGATTAAAAGGTGTTGCTTCTTCAGCAAAATTGCAGGGAACTTTCCCAACAAGTATATAGCAATACAGTTAGAAAACTTCCCAGCTGGTGGTTGTTGAAGTACTTCAGATCCCTTCATTTCATTCAGGGGCAAAAGTCACCATAGGTTTATAGACCTAAGCCTGTGCGAGAATGAATATTGCTGCTGTTTCATATACAACAGCCTGTTTCAGATACAGAATTGCAAGAGCTGTAGCTTGCCAAAGGTGGTGACAGCATCAGAAAAGATGATTTAATAATCATCATCCACAGAAATCTGCATCAAAGCACATGAATCTTTTTAACAGGGACAAGTAATCTGTGGTGTGTGGAGTCCCACACTCCCATCCCTTTCAGCAGGGAGGAGCAACAAAGGGTGAGCGTGACTTAAGCATTTGTCCTCCCATTTTAACAGGAAAATATTTTATCATTATTACAATAAACAAAAAAGCCCAGCACCAGTAGTGAATAAATGATCGTCAGCGCTTTTGCTGGAAACGTTTAGACAGCACTTTGTTCTAGAAAAATATACAGAATGTCTTGCGAGCATGGTGTACAAGCTCTATGGCTGGAAAAGCTTGGAAAGAAAGACTGGGATTTGTGCTGGGGAATAGAGATAATTTATGACTGAGCAGCAAGTGGTGAGGAGGGAAAGAGGCACATCCTGGAGATAGGGGAATCATCCAAATTATTCATCAACCTTAAAAGAGTAAAGTTGTGCGAGTTCCCAAGCTCGCTGCTTTTATATTGCTCTAAGAGGTTAGATCCTGTGCAAATCCACAGTCTGCTGGAGATCTGAATGGGAAAAATTTGTCTTGTTTTTCCTCTCATGGGGTGTGTGTTGGGCTGTCAGCAACTCAGATGAAGATATCAGTGAAGAAAAGGCTGAGAGCCATGATCCAGAGCAGGTCTTCCAGAATATCCAATACCAGAAGGAGATTATGTCCAATATCCGCTGCCGGCCGTGGCCAATGAGGCAGAAGCTGAGAGCACTCAGGTAAAGGTGTTTGCACCAAAGCTTTCAATCTCCCTATGACAGTGCTTCCAGCCTTAGGAGATTCTATTTCAGTGTACCCTGGAAGGGACTATGCACAGAAATGATTAAGAGCTGCTAGGAAAGCATGCTCTGAGGGAGCTCTGACAAGATCCAAGGGCTGGCCGAAGGCAGCAGCCTTGGGTTGGAAAGTCTCCAGGTGAAGTTGTCTCTTCTGCATGCCTGTGGCTCCCCTTAGACAGTGACTGTGCAGAAAAGAGAGACTGAAACCACACTTTGGCTATTAGCTATTAAAATAGTGTGTCAGCTATTCAGTAGTCTAAGGAGAGGCTGTTGGTAATGCTCAGTAATACATTTTTAAGCTAAACTGTTTCACTCTGTCCCAAAAAGGAAAAGCAGTCTACTGTTTTAAAGGTAATTGCATGGTATGAAAGCAGAAGCTGATCAAAATCTCCAGTTAATACATAATGAATGATCTGTCTCGGGCTTACTTTATTTTTCTTTATTATCTGACATCTTTCTCATAAGCCTCTGTATATTCTAGGATGCCGTTTTAGTCATAAGGAATCCCTAGCAGCAGTGAAGACCCTTTGCAATCTTCAAAGCAAAGAGGGACTTTCCTCAGGCAGAGTCTGTGACTTGATGCCTTTTTATTCTTGATGAGATTTTGGTGTTCACCATCCCCCTTCTGCTGAGGTCAAAGACTGCATATGACTAGATGAATACTGCACCTCTTTGCTTCTTACAAGAGCGCTACACCATGTTTGCAGAAGAGGTGTTAGTATTTACATGAGATTCACCAGACCATAATGGTGATCTTTGAATTTTACTCATTTGGGTTGCACCAGAGTTTGAATCAAAAGGACAGATTAAAAAAAATAGAGGAATAGAAAACTCTTCCTGCAGTCAAACTTTTGAATGCTGAGTTTTCTCATTAAAAATTCTCAGTGGTTATACAGTATCAGTAAATCCTCAGCAGGAAAAGAAAAAAACTTTGTTTGGATAAGGGTTTATTGGTGAGAAAATCCACGATTGTATTTTTGAGCATTTGATACCTTTGATAGTTGCCACTTGCACGGAATAAGGGGCTCCATGTAATGGATCAATATTGACTGAATTCCCCCTTTTTGTGCAGACAGGCGAAGGAGATTGTGCTGAAGTATGAAGGGAGGCTCACTAGAACAAGAGGTTACCAAGCTGCTGGGGCAGAGGTACACCTGCTTTTTATTAAATTACAGCTCTTTTCTATACAACAGTCACCTGCAGATTTCATTCTTAGAAGCACACGTTTGCTCTGCAGTCCTGATCTCCGACTCAGGAACAGTGTCAAGGGAGGGAAAAGCAGTTTAAAGCTGCTGCTTTCTTTTTTTTCCATATTGTGAATTTATTAATTACATTCTTGCAGACTCATTTCATGTGTTGAGGGATGGTCCTTCTATGAACACAGTATACACTTCCTTCTCAAATAATTTACAAAAACTGATGCCAACACCACAATGCCAGTATTCTCTGAAGAGCTATTTCATCAGACTCTGGGGCCACAGATCAATAGTTTAGTATGAAAAATGTGTCTAGCTTTTAGTTTGGAAGACAATAGGTTATAATACATAGTTAAAGAAGATTTTTGCTTGCATAATGCTTAAATAATTTGAATCTAATCTTAGCAAATCTATTTACACCACTGAAAATAGACCCTGGCCATAATTCCTGGAAATTAATAACATCCAGGAAATTGTCCCTAATATACAACTAGCAGAGGAGAGATCTTTAGTCATGTAAGTAGTCAAGAATATTTTTGTCATCATAATGAGCAGATTTTTAATGATTAACTTATCGTCATTCAAAAAGGCAGGGTTGTAACAGTAAAATAGAACATCATGTGGTTTATTCACGTGAAGCAGTGAAAGGCTGTATATGTATTTGTTTTTCTGTTATATTGGCCTGCAGCAAAGGTTTACAGTACCACTTTCTAAGCTAGGAAAGAATCATTTATCCTTGTTCTGCCTTTGCGTGTGTGGCAAATGCACTGAAAGTAACAAATGCTGTCAAAACAAATACTGGGTATTGCCTTTGACCTGAGTAGGATTAGGGTGTTACCTAGAAAGAGAAGTGCTAAGGGTCTGCAATTTATGTCAGTAAATCAGAGATTGGGCTCATTACTTGCTCATATTCCCCTTCCTATAAAACACAGAGGTTTTCATCTTAGAGTTCACAGTGAATAAAAGTTTGTATCTAAACTAATTACCTCTGTTGTGTGTATTTGAAGATACTCAGCACAGGGATATAATTCAGCACCGCTCATTATGTGTAGGGGAAGTGTTCTTTTTTTTTTTTCCCCAGCACAAATTAGGGAATATAGCCTTTGCATCAGTACATCAGGACTAAATTTGGCAAATGCAACAGAATGAGTTGTGTTTTGGTTTTTAATTGGAAGGGTTTCATTTTCATGTATTTTCTTAGAAAATAGCATGGTGACCAAGGAGACAGGAATTGTGGCACAGCAAAACAAGCACTATATTATCAGAATTAAGAATTCAGTGGTCGAACATGTACTAAGAGCAAAATGCAACTGTAAGTGTATACATTTTTAAATGAGTTTTTAAACTTTGCAAAATACACACTGTTCATAATTGGACAATCCATTCATGCTATTACTTACGAAAATAAACATGGAAGGCTGTGGGGTTTCTTGGTTTTTTTCCTTCTCAGTTCAATTATTTTTTTGTATTTTTTTACTTTTTCAAGTAATTTTACATTTTCCATTAATGCCAGATGCCCATACTCTGGATTCTAAGAGCATAAATTACCTGTTCAGGTATGCAGTGGGTAAGAAAAGAGGTGACAGCTATCTTACAATTTTAACAAATACTACTCCCACATGGACATTTTTGTGTATTTTCTAAACCTCCAGTACAACTGGCACAAGCAGCTTGATTCCTTTCTCAGCCCGGTGCCCACTGTTTTCAAATGAAAGTAACCATCCCAACAATTTCCATGCAACTCACAGCATTCACAATTTCTTTGTCTAATTAAAACACTCCCTTTCATGCAATAAAATACCCACAGCACCATAAAAATTAATTAACTTTGGGCAAAGAGACTGATAATATATTCAGCAACTAAAATGTTATTTATTCCTCTTTGATCTAGAAGATTAGATTACATCATACAATATTGACACTGCTGCCGCCCAAAATATAGGGTTGGGGTTTTTTTTAATATCTAGCTGTACTAAAAAAACTTTATAGTGCACAATATATAAATATTATTTTTGTTGATACAGTAATGTTATAGCTCTAATTCAACACATCCAAAACCGCACTCAATTTTGCACATGCAGATTTTGTTTCTTCTCCCACGTGTATGTACAGCCCAGTGTCTGCAGGAAGATGCTTTCCTGCGACTGTGCAAAAAGTTGAGTTTGAATAAATTCTCTAGAAAATGTAACTGCAGGTTTTCTACTGGTGTCAGCTGAGAATATAACAGTTGAATTTGCTGCTGTTGAATACAAAACCTAAGTTTTCCTTCTAGAAATTTTTTTCTTAGGCATTATGATTCTCTAAAATTTCTAGTTAGTTATTCATTTGTTTATCCTAGAAGTCAAACTTATTACTGGTAGTGCAGTGGGATTCCTTCATAAACTATAGGGAGGCGATGTGTCTCGGCAGGACTCAACATGGATGACTTCAGCTGCCTGGAGCTGCTGCCTGGCCCTTCTCTGCAGTTCTCCTCCACAGCCACCAAGGGCGACAGGGAATGGCACCTGTTGGCTTCCTTCTGTTGGCTCCTCATGGTCTTTATGTGTAAAAGATGTAGATTGGTGGTGCCTGACTGTACTCTCAAACATGCTCCAAGATCTTAGTTATTCATGTTTGCAATACTTTTTGTGATATGAGACATATGAGCAAAATATTCTGAATTTGCTTGGGATTTTTTGGTTGGTTGGTTGTTTTTTTTACATGCATAACTGTCATGTTTCTCATTTCTCTGCTTTTTGCTCAGCTTTGGAGAAAGTTTATTCGACTTGCATATAATTTTGTGGTCATTTTTATTCCTTGGGAAATGAGAATAAAGAAAATAGAAAGTAAGTATAAAGACTTAATGGTATCGTACAGCAAAGCACTTTTTAAAATGCTGAGTGTTAGAGTTCATTTTTTAATTCACTGAATTAAATAATATTTGGGAGAGTTAAATGCACACTTTCAGCAGTTTCGTTTTCATTTAAAACTGTTTTTTCTTCTTGGTGCTTTAGACACTGCACCATTCTCATTTATGGTCTCGGTGGGGGCTAGCTTTTAAAAAGTGTAATTTGTCCTATTGTGGTTCTGAAAATGCAGTGAGATTTGGTTATAGTTTATCAGACTCCTTGGGGCAGCATCGTTGGGCCAGCATCCCCAGATCTGCCCAGGGTCAAGTGTGGTTGTAACCTGCGTCACCAGCCCTTGAATCTTTCAGCTGAATTAAAGCAGGCCTTAACATTACATAGCAATTAGGTCACACCTCCGTGCTCCTTGCTTAAACGCTGCTGGTAATTGTGGGACTTCCCGAACAGAGTTTGTATTGGAATTATTTTCTTCAATGACAAACTAACATTTTCTCTGCTGTATGTCCTGCATGAATAAGAAAGGTTTTTCCATTATTGTAGTATTCAAATAATACTTAATGAATAAATGATAAGAGCTTTTATAGACTGTGTAGCTCAGATAACTTTTCTGTGGTTTAAGGTCATTTTGGGTCTGGAGTAGCCTCTTACTTCATCTTCCTGAGATGGCTGTTTGGAATCAATATTGTACTTACTATAATGACAGGAGCATTTGTAGTCTTACCAGAGGTAAGAACATGCTGTTAATATTTACATAAAAATGCCTACTGCTGCACTTTACTTTCCAAATTAAGTAAATGCCACACTTACATGCGTACATCAGTTTGCAATGTACAATTTAAAATGAATTATTTAAAAATGAATTCACCTGCTAAGAGGGATTTTATCTGCCAAATGAGAAGAGAATGTTGCTATCAGTGTTAAGAGGTGATATTCTGTCAACATGGTACTAATGCTTTTACAGAATATATTTTTATCTGATTACTAAAATGGAGAAACAAATCCTAAAAGCTGTAGTTGGTACTGAGCACATTCAAGTCCTGTCAGTGTCATTTACAGGCAGAAAATATAACATCCCTCTCCAGGCTCTGGATTACTGTCCATCAGAACTTATTTTCTAGATGTTCTGAACAGCCACAACTTTGTTTGCTTCTGCATGCAAGTAAGGCTAGTTGTGAACTTTGTTAAATTATTCATAAACATTATTTCGCTTCACCTAATCTGAGCTTTAATAATGTTATCAGACAACATTTTAGCTAAGGCAAAAAAGAAATTGTACCCCCAGGAAAAATAAAAAGTAAACTGAAATAAAAAGGGCATTTACTTAATTTTTTTTATTTTTTTTCGATTTTTTTTTAAAGTAGATGTAATTTTGAAATATCATTCTGAGATCAAACACTGCCATGTTTAATTTTAAAATGCTTAAAATGAACATAGGTTCTAAAGCTATTTTGTTACTGGCTTTAGTTATCTCTTTCCATTTCTCAGCCATTTCGAAGATGTCTACAGAGCACTAAATTTCCTCATTGGTAAACCACAGATAGCAAAAACGAACAACCCACCTGGTTAAGTGGGAGTTGAATGCAGGATTTCTCATGGAGTTTCTAGTTTAGAACAAGGAGAGTCCTAATACTCACTCTCCTGGTAGTATCATCTGTGCGGGCAGCTCTTGGTGGGTTCTGCTGGGCACCAGTGGGTCAGATGGGCTCACACAGTGTCTGAGACCTCCTCTCTCTTTCCCAGCTACTGGCCGGGGCAGCGTTTGGCACCACAGACAGAAAGACCATTCCTGAGGAGCGTGTTAAATCTGCTCAAGACCTGGACACCATCTGGTCACTAGGGGCAAGACTAAAACCACTCTTTATTGTTTCACTGTTATTATGTTGTTATCATTAGTTACTGCTCTTATTTACAGTCTCTGGTCTTTGCAGGGCTACCTCCAGTACTCTGTTTTGTTTTATGGCTACTACGGTCATGACAGGAAGATTGGGAAAGCTGGGTATCGGCTGCCTCTTGCCTACTTCCTTGTTGGAATGGCAGTGTTTGCTTACAGCTTCATCATTCTCTTAAAAAAGTAAGACTTCCCATTTATTGCTGTTAATAAGCTTGTGTGTTCAGGCAATCATAATGGCGTATTTATTCTGCATAGTTCTATTAATCTGGTCAAGTCTGCTAATATCAGGGAGGCAGGCTCTGTTTAATTTAGCTTTCTCTTCATCTTGCTATCGTCTCTCTTCAATATCCCAGTCTATAACAGGAGGGTCACAAAGGAAATGATCTGTGTGTTTTGTGTTTGTATAAAGTCTGACACTCATTGAGGTCCTTTCTATTTTCCTCTTTTCTGGTATAAATATTGCTATGACAAAAATTTACATTTTAACTATAATGCTTTCAGCATTATTATTCCCATCTATTGAAATACAAGTACAAAACCCCCTCCTAGTTGTAATATAATTTGCGTTATTTCAGCTCGTATGTGGCACCCCTTCAAATGTAAGCTTCATTTCTTCGTTGTTGAAGGGCCAGGAGTAGGAGTTAGCAAAGAGAGCAAGGCTGCGAGTGCTGACCATAAATCCAGGAATGTGCATTGCTTGTAGAGGAGCAAGGTCACTCTATCCTCTCCTGATCTGCTTTCATTTCCCTTCTGGATACCTATTACCTGTCACAATGCAGTCCAGGGACATTTTGAGCACTGCCTGTAACAATTCTCAGTTTTGATGTCAAACTTTCCCTTTTCATTTATTTTTATTCTACCTGCTGGTTTGTGCCAAGGGCCACCGGTATGTTTGGCACTGATCTACACACTTGCAGTTTCTGGATATGATTAGCCCTTCCCCTTCTGCCTTAGCTCACTGACTCTTCGCTTAGCTGCTTACAGTTCCCTTTTTGATGCTGTCCTTTTGGATGCCCTTTCATAAGCTATTAATTTTCATTTCATTTTTCATGCTTTGCAATATTCTGCTATCTTGCCTATCTGAGATGAGTAGATGGGGTTTTCTTTCTTTTTCCCAAGGTCTGTGAAAGGACACTGGGTTTCTATTTGACAATAACACGTATTTTGAGGGTGATAACAATACAGGAAACAAACAGATCTTGTGCATGATAGCTGGTTTTGCCAAACGACCTTGTAATCACAGTAACAGTGATCTTAGTGGGTGGTATCTTCCAGCAGGATCCTACCTGGAGATCGTAAAATTGAAATATGTTTAAGTCCATGCTCTGGTGAGATTTATTTGCTTACTTGCCAGCTATAAAGAATGTCAATATCAAAATGCCTTTCCACAGTGAGTCACTTCTGCATTAGAATAGAAGGGAAAGTCATGCTCAACCCCACCCTGTTTTATTCTCTTCAGAACACTGCCAACAATGACACGAGTTGCTGCAAAGTTCTGATAGCCCTAAAAGCAGCTAAACACTGAGCCAAACCAGTGATTTCCTTCATACCCATATTCATGCATTAACAGTTGAATATTTCTTTTCTTTTTTTTTTTTTTTTTTTTTTTTACAGAATGGCAAAAAACTCAAGAATGAGTTTAGCAAGTGCCTCTGATGAAAATTACACTTTTTGTTGGAGACTGTTCTGTGCCTGGGACTATTTAATAGGAAACCCCGAGGCTGCAGAGAGCAAAGCTGCTGCCATAGTTAATAGCATTAGGGTGAGCAACTGACCCTCAAATTATTTACAGTTGTTTTGTTTGTTAATCGGTAAGATATATAAGTCTTTCCTCTTGTTCCCTTGCATTTCCTATTCATTTACACATCTATTTGTCTATGGGAGCATGGGTATCATATTTCTGTGTAGTATTGCAGTCACATCAAACTTGTTGACACTGTCATTCTGTCCCAGCAAGGCCACTGTGCTCCTCTTTGGAAGAGCTTTATTTAATACTGTTGTATGTGCGACAAGAACTTCGGTAGACAGAAGTTAGATGCAACTTAATTGAGTAATAGAATCAAATTCATGTTAAGGAAAATATACAACTTCATAAAATTTTTATTTTTTTATGCAAAGCAAGTGTTTTATGCCTTAGGGATTCATTCATAACAGGTGGAGCAGGAGAACCCCACCTCACATTTTGCAAGATGATTTTTTAAATAGCAGTAACCTTTAGTTACCTCTTTTACTGAGAATCATAGAATCATAGAATGGTTTGGGTTGGAAGGGACCTTAAACATTATCTGGTTCTAACTCCCTACCACAGGCAGGGACACCTTCCATCAGATCAGGTTGCTCCAAGTCCCATCCAACCTCGCCTTGAACACTGCAAGGGATGGGGTAGCCACAGCTTCTCTGGGCGACCTGTGCCAGGGCCTCACCACCCTCACAATGAGGAGCTATTTCCTAATGTTTAATCTAAATCTACCTTTAGTTTGAAGACATTACCCCTTGTCCTATCACTACATGTCTGTAAAAAGACCTTTTCCAGATTGTCCAAGATTAAAGCTTGTTTATGATTTCCTGTGCATAATTTCTTGTTATTTCTTCATTATTTTACCAGCTATTATTCAGACTGCTCAGGGAAGTGGTCACAGCACCAAGCATGTTCAGAGTTCAAGGAGCATATGAAGAATGCTCTTAGTCATGTGGTTAAGTTTTAGTTAGTCCTGCAAGGAGCAAGGAATTGGATTAGATTTTCCTTGTAAGTCCCTTCCAACTGGAGATATTCTATGAATTCTGTGATTTATTTCATGTCTCTGTAACAAATGGTCTAGGGACATGTTTCAGCTCTCTCAACATTAGAAAATTACTTTAAACACAGATGTTTTCCATTTAGAATTTAAGAACAGCTGGGGTTATCATCAAGAGTAATTTATTTCCCAAATTTGGTGTATTCTCATTAAGTCATTGAACAAAATTACTTCAAATTGTGTCAAAGGTGAATTAAGAAGCTATGATACTTAGTCATTTCTATGACTGAGGATAACTTTTGACAGTTCTGTATTACAGTGCTGACACACGGATCCTGCAAAAAGATGTGGCAGTGTCAAGTCTCTGGTTGTACCCCATTGACGATGCATGACTGAAAGTGCACAAGTTATCTGATTACTGTATATTAGCTTCTCAGAAATCTTCCCTATTTGAGCTCACTTATCATTCCTAAAAAGCTGTGCGGGGCAGAGAGGTATTTATCTACTTGCACTTCCAGGATGTGAAGTTTTTTATTAGTATATTTGGTATCTTTTGTGAAATATATGTGCAATTTTTGCTGAACTCTATTCAAACGATAATGCTGTTTTTCTTTCAAGGAAGCTATACTGGAAGAGCAGGAAAAGAAGAAAAGCAAAAACTTGTATGTATATAAGATCAGAGATACTTTTCAAACCATTGTTTCAATGTAGATAGTGCTAATCTGCTTGTCTCATACTTCTAAACCCATATTAGAAAAGACCCCTGGTGTCATGAGACCTACTGTATTGGCTATGTCTTTATTTTTCCAGGGCAGTGACTATAAGCTTAAGAATTATTGCAAACATCCTTGTGCTTCTCTCGCTTGCTGGAAGTATTTACATTATATACTTTGTTGTGGATCGATCCCAAAAGTTAGAGCGCACCAAAAAGGAATTGACTCTTTGGGAAAAAAATGAGGTACGCAGTGTCTTTATGCCACTTCTGCGCTAGAATCAGGATTAGTAATTTTAAAGCTGAGATGTCTGGAATAAAGATTGATAAATGATATTCCAGATTGATAATTCTGGATCATAAGTACTGTTATTACAAATGTCAATAATAACTTCTTAAAGCATCTCTTCCAAGAAAAGCAGTCACCAAAGTATGTGCATCAGCATTATTTCACTCATGGCACCACAGATGATCCACATGAAAAGCTACAAAAATGCATCTTTCTGTTCTGTAGGTAAGCGTAGTTGTGTCACTGATTACAATGATTGCACCCTCTGCTTTTGAGCTTGTGGCAGCTCTGGAGATGTACCACCCAAGGACCACTCTTCGCTTCCAGCTTGCCAGGTAGGGGCATCAAGCAGTGTAGAATTGATGTGAGAAGAAAGGGAGGAAGAGATGTGTTCTGGTAGAATGTTTTAGTCCAACCAAACCAGACAATGTATGAGAATTCAATGGTATAACAATGCTCATTCTTGTTTTCAGGGTTCTTGTTCTATACCTGGGAAACCTTTACAGTTTAATCATAGCTCTCCTGGATAAAGTGGACAGTATGAGTGTCACTGTAAGTTTAACTTGATGTTCTCTGATGTGTAAAGCTAGAAGACTATACAGATAAATAGGCGTCATAATGTAGATAGTGATATAAATCAATTCTGATAAAATTTGTTTGAAATTGATTAAAACATTACAATTTAGGGTTGTTCAGTTCAGTTTGCAATGTTCATTTACAACTACTTGGAGGTTTTTTTTTGATAACTGGATCCATTTGATTGCTGATATAACATGATAAATAGGTTCCTGTGCATAGCTTAACTATTAATAATTAATTAAAAAAAAAAAGCCAGTCACTTAACTGCTGCTTAAAAATACACGAGGAGATGCCTCTGTGTGTGCACTGTAGAAGGTACAGACATCTGCATGTACATATAGTTGAAAAAGTAGCTTTTGGGACATTTATTATTTCAGGACTCTGATGTTAACCACAATGCAAGCAATTTTGCCACCTTCTCAACAACTAGAACTCCTTCTAAAGAAGACAATTTATCTACAACTATTCCCAACGTACACTTTAAGGGAAATGGCATTGCCACACTGGAAGAGAGTCGCACTCAAGGCATTACAATCTCTGACTCACTGGTTAACAGAACAGTTTCCTTAAACTCTAACACCCAGAATCCGCAGGATCAGTGCTGGGAGACATATGTTGGCCAAGTAAGTAATTGTTTTATTATGTCATCAACATATTCCTAACCCACATTTGTCAAAAATATTAAAATCACTTTGTGCTGTGTTCAGTTTTAGAGCTTTTCTTTATATAAATTCCAGATTTTAGCTAAGGATTGTGTAGAAAAATAAAGTCAGTGTGAAGTTACATGGCTGCAGATCCAAGCTTTGTTTTTTGTTTATTATCTACAATGTGTTTAGTGTTGAACAGATGTTCTTTTGGCAGTCTTTGGTTTATGTCGTCAGCTCTGTAGAGGCAGATCTCCAGAGATCCTTGCAGAGCCATATACACGTTCTCACAGTTAGACTGCAGAAAATCTGCAGACTTAATATGACAATTTTGCTTCCCTCTGTGTGAAGCATATGACCCCTTTACTTGGAGCAACTAGCAGTGGAACCAACACATTTTAACCACACACAAGATGTCCTTTGATCCCAGTGTGCTTTGGTCACTGTCAGTGTCTCATGTCTGCTTAAGCTACTAGACTGACTGATGATACTGTGCTTCTGACTTGCTGAGCTCCTTGTTCCAGAGTGCACAGTATTAAAGGTCCTGTTTGATTGTTTGGAGCAGCAGAACCCCCCTAGGTTTATTAGCCTGATTTCTATTCCCATATGCCACTTTCCCTGTTGCAAATCATCAGGAAATTTTTAGAATTAGTGTGCATGGCATCTGTGGGGTTTTTTGGTTGGTAGGTTTTGGGGTTTGGTTTGGGGTCTTTTTTGATTGGTTGGGTTTGGGTTTTTTTTTTTGTTTGTTTGTTTGGGTGTTTTTCTTCTTTGTTTGGGTGTTTTTTGTGGTTTTTTTTTTTTTTTTTTTTTTTTTGCCCATCAGAATGGGCTAGAAATGTTTGGAAATGAACCTTTTTATTTAATTGTATGTTTTTAAGATTCAATTAAATATAGGAAAAACCCCTTCATTTACAAGCAGTAAACAGGTCTCTTATGGCTTGATGATCCTACTGCCACTGGGGTTTGGTTTTCTACGAAAAATAAGCATTTGTCATTGTGAAACACTTAGCAAATACATATCACAACAGTCAGTGTAATAAAAAGGACTGGGTACAGTAGAAAAACCAGCCCATTCCAGTTTATGGAGATAAATTTTCAGAGCAGTCATTGAAAGAAAGCCTGAAGCCATCATCACCAGAGTTTTATTGCTGTAAGCAACAGAAGGAATGCTGGAAGTTTCATTATATTTGTTCTCTTTGCTAGATCAACGACAAGTAAGAGAATTGTCAAACTGAAAAATTTAAAAGGAAATTATTTATATTTAAATCGTATTTTATCAGGATACTAAGCTTGAGCCAAAATACAAGTGCAAATGCAACAAGAGCCACATGCATTTGCTTCCAGCATGACTTATTACCTGTGAATAATGTATTTCAGGAGATGCTAAAGCTTTCAATTATCGACATGATTTTCACAGTCGCAAGCATCCTGCTAATTGATTTTTTCCGTGGACTATGTGTCCGATATTTAAGTGATTGCTGGTGCTGGGATCTAGAAAGCAAGTTTGTAAGTACAGTCTTTATTTTATCAAACTAAGATACTGAAGATGATTAGGCTCCTTCCCTGTAAATGGGAAGTAGTGGGTAAATGGCACAGGGTAAATGAAGAGATTGGATGTTTTTCTCAAGCATGGCTATGGTGCTAAAATCTTTGTCTTTCTCAAAGCAAGATCACAGAGCCATCCCAGAGTCAAAGACGAGACAGCACAGAGTTGCCCCCCACATCATCTTTTCTGTATCTGTAACATCTATCCATAATGCAGTGGTCCATGGGACCCCAGCCAAAAGCATATAGCCCTTGAAGAAAACTACAGCTAGTAATATCTGCTTAGCAAGAAGCTGTTGGTATGAAAGGCCGAGGACTGTTCTTTGTCCTTAACTAAAGACGTGATGTAAACTAGAGAGAAATTAATCCACTTACTAGCTTTTACTGTGTTCCCACTGCCTGCCAGAAGTTGGTATTTCAGCTAGACATGTCAGTCTATGAGCTGTCTGCAAACTGATTTTGTCAAATGCTTCTAATTAAATGACCTGAAATAAAGATTAAGACAAGGTATTAATCCTACACTGTGCTTCTTGCAGCCAGAATATGGAGAATTCAAAATTGCAGAGAATGTACTGCATTTAGTCTACAACCAAGGAATGATCTGGTATGTAATCCAGAAGAGATTTTTCTTTGTTGGCTGATTACCAAATTAATCTGATGATTTTCAATGAAACCTATTCCAGTAGGATATTGGTAATGCCATCATTTATACCTTATTATAATATCATCTGTTCATGGTGAGCTGTTGGTTTGTTGTTTTCTTTTTCCTATGTTCTTTCACTATTAAAATTGCTTCTGGCAACACTGAGCACTGATATATTATTTTTCCAGGATGGGAGCTTTCTTTTCACCTTGCTTACCAGCATTCAATGTTCTCAAGTTGATTGGACTCATGTACCTGAGGAGCTGGGCTGTGTTAACGTGTAATGTACCACATCAGCAGGTTTTCAGAGCATCTCGGTTAGTCAAAATGAGAACAACAGATAAAGAATAAATCAAATGCAGGCAACAGAAATGTATTCTGTGCATAGAAGCAAAATAACAGAAGGTTTTAGCCCAGAAAGTTGGCAAATTTGACAATACTGATAATAAAGGTCTGTGGAAAAAAACAGTGAGAAACTGCAGGGTTTGTGAAGTTGCACAATATGCTTCTCCATTTTTTTCTATCATGGTGAATATCTTAATTATTTACTCAAAATTGAAATAATTTAGTGCATCTTTAATTCTTAAGAATCACTTATTTCGAACATGTTTTTAAGATTAATCAACATCTGCTACTGTTCTTTTTCCTCCCCAACAAAACTGGGCACTAATGTCAGGTTTTATTGAAGAGTGCCATAAAGCATTCTCTGTCTGCAGCAGTGGTATCTGGAAAACAGTGCAAATAGGATTTTGATCATTAAGAGCCTGTTTAAACTGGGTCTGTTCAGACTTTCTAATCATAGCAGAATGATTTTGATCTTTCAGAAATGTAGATCTTGAACTCGTTAGGAAGACAGAAACTTGCAACTTTCCTGTTTACTCTGTTTTTCTCTCTGATTAGTATAATCTGAAACGTTACATTTTCTTGCAGATCAAATAATTTCTACTTGGCCATGTTGCTGTTCATGTTGTTCTTATGCATGTTACCAACAATTTTTGCTATTGCCCGATATAAGCCATCTTTAAGCTGTGGTCCCTTTAGGTAAGTTATAATGGATAAATGAAAAGTGAAAAGACTTTATTTTATCCTCTCACAGTAAATTCATTGGGTTCAATACCCAAATTACCAATTAAAAAAAAGCTGATAGGACAGTGTTCTGCTGCTGCCGATGTTTTGCCAGTTTTAGATTTAATTGGGTGAATAAGTCAATGTTCTGAGTGAAGCTCGATGTTTTGCTTTATATCATGGTTCAGTTATTTTATGTTTACACAGTGTAATGTGCCATTGAGCAATCTGGCACATATCGCTGTCTTGTGCCTCAATTCAAGCACCCTCCAAGCCTGGCCAGTGCCTTTGTGCTTTGGAAAAATTGTTAAAAAACAAATAATTATTAAATTCCTTCCCCCCTCCCCCCCATTAGGGCTTTCTTACAATTTAATTTTACATTTATTTCTTTCCTTCCTGTAGTGGACAAGAAAAAATATATGATATTGTTTCTGAAACAATTAAAAGTGATTTTCCCACATGGTTTAACACGGTGATTACTTACATCAGCAGTCCTGTGGTTGTTCTCCCTGCACTATTACTATTATTGTAAGTACTTTGGTTTTCACAGGCAGGTTAAATTGGTTGTATTAATATTGGCCTTATCTCTGGAGAGTTAAACACTGATACTGAGGAGCAAACACTGCATTATTGTCATTTATTAAGCATGTCGGGGAAAAAAACAAACCACAACAAAACAACACCTTATTGACTATATGGCATAAGGATCAGACAGGAATTAGAGTATGTTAAAAAGACTTTCATCAAATTTTGAAGAGGAATTTCTTGTTCTGGGATACTGTTAGAGCAAGTTCCCTACATTGTGTCAAGGCTTGCAGTGCTGCTGGTTCCAGGAACTTTTAAGATCCTTCTTCCCCCTCAAATGCTCCTCAGAAATTAATTTTCCATTTTATCATGTTCAGTTTATGACTGTGAACAGGGCTCAGTCTATAATTTAAAGAGGCTACTCAGTCACCCTGATTTCTGACAAGATAAATCAATTATGAAGGTCTGCTCTTAAGCGTTAATGTAATATAACCTGCTGCAGACTTTCCAGAAGTAGTTCTTTCTTACTCTAGTTCCTAAATAATTGTTCACAGCTGGGAATTCATATTTATTTTGAGCTGTTTGAAAATCACTTTGCTTCTGCAAAGTATCATTAGTCTTGCATGTACCTTTGTATCATTTTTTGCCTTTAAACTACAGATGAATGCAGGGTTTGTCCCACCAGTGAACTTTTCAGATAAATCCAAAAGACTGAAGCTCTACTTCCTACTTGTAATTTGTCCCAGCCATGTAAATATGAACATATTTACAAATTTAAGTAGATCTATTGACTGCTTCAAACTGATGGCTAAGCACACATGTAAGTGTTTGTGGTACGAAGTCTAGCTGTAAGACTTTACCTCATCTGAAAGCCAGTGTAATCCATTATGTCAGGCCAACATTGATCTTGGTTGTGCCAGTGTAAACAAGGTGCTATTCTGGTCGGTCAACAAAATTACACTGGTATGAGTGTGCAAACTCAGCTGTAATTCTACTGTCTCAGTTCCATAACCTTGGACTGGGAAAAAAAGACAAAGTGTTTATCAAAATTTTCATTTTGAGCATGTCCAGAATTGAAACAAACAAAAAAAACCACCTAGAAATGCACCCAGGGATATATGCACAATGAAAAGACCTGCAAAAAAAAAACAGCAAAAACATAGGCACAATTAAAAGTGCTGCTAAATCCTTTGTTCAGTATCATTTCTTTTCCATGTGTGTTTGCTTGAAAGAAGGCCACATCCATTATCACATTATAAAAGAAATACTACAAAGCAGCAACTATAAACCTGGGTATCATTTTGCTGGCCTACAAACCCTCAAAGCGAAAACTGTCAGGAATGTTTGAAGTGACTCAAAATCACCTCTTTCATTTCTAGCATGCTGATCTATTACCTACAAAGCATTGCAAGATCATTAAAATACACCAACAATCAACTGAGAATGAAGATCCAAACAGTAAGTACAGGGAAAAGTACTTTTACATGCAGTTTGGTGGGTCCTCAGTTAAGGAACTAGCCTGATTAAGTCTCTAATTTTCAATGTTTCACAGTGTAACACCAATCCTATGGGGTTTTTTTGTCCTTACACAGCAGTGAATGTACTCTCTAATCCATAATAATTTAGTGCTGCTTATTCTTCTGAATGTATTTCAGGAAAGAACTGAAGATAAGAAAAAGGTGGTTCAGATGGCAGTAGGTAAGTCAGTGAGCTTTAGAAATGCCACTATTAATGAAGCACTTGTATTTAAAAAACATTTTGACTTCTCATACAGGGAAGTTCAACTACATTTTAAAAACTGTTTACTGTAAAGTCCTCCTTTTAGATGGTTTCTGAGCTCAGCTTGACGTAATCTTGGAAGCACTGAGACAAGGTGTGTAGTTTACACCTAGTTTCTGCTGGGATCTTTGGACTGTATACTTTCCTGCTTTTACCACCAACAGGGCAGAACCTGGGAGGCATCTCTGGTGATTCAAATCACGTCAGACCTTGCGTAAAATTCAGAGTCTAGCAGACAGAAGAGGAGATAGGGCATGGCCCCTATTCTTTCACCCGTGATGGTGAAATATTTCATCAGCTATGAAAAGATTTCAGACTTAATTGTCTATTGTGCCTGAGGGAATCTGAACCTGTACCTTCCACTTCTCAGATTTCAGCAATGAGAAACCACACAAAGGATGCCATCCCTCTAATAACTCCCAGTGAAAATAACCATGTAAAAATTTGCCAAGCCAAAGACATGATTCAGTAGCCTTATGGCTTGATTTTAATGCTACTGTAACACCCTAATAGCTCTCAGCAGACACACAGATGGTGAAATACCCAACATATAGTAATATAGTGACCAGGAGTGACTATCAAGGGCAAAAAGGTATGTGTCCTAGTTAGATTTACTTTGTAACAGAAGCCAAATTCAGGTTTTGGCTGTGGCCACCACAGACACTGGAACCAGCTTGATGAATTTGGCCACCTTCATATTGGAAGTGGTGTGCACTGGGTACTAAACGGGGCTCTGGAAAAGAGACACTGGCTTGTTGCCCATTTCAAAATCCTGCAGTGCAATACCCAGTGTCTTTTCTGTGTTCCCCAGTGCTACACCTGCCATTTACCATAGCATGCCAAAGCACCCCTTTATCACTGTGTCTCCCACTGTGGCACCACTTTCTCTTTTCTGAACACAGTGGGTTCTGTCAGCACTGGACCCCATGACTGCAGGACGAATTTAAGCCACTGCAACTTCTAAATTTAGAAACCTCAGTGGTTCCTGTAATAATTTGTTTTCTAGCCAGAATCCAAAATCTGGATGGGAATGACAAGAGACCAGAGAAAGAAACTGATATTACCCAGGAGTCTTCTGCTCGGTCCTCAACTCCCCGAAAGAATGGCAGTGTCCTGAACTTTGAATCTCCCGTGACCAAAGGCACCAGAATACAAACCATTTCCCAGTCTGTGCCCCAAACTGTGCCCTCAACTGATGTCGCAAGACCCATCAATGCAACTCCCACAGCTTCAACGTCTTTAACACCAGCTTGCTCAGCATCAAGTATACAGAAGCCAAGAAATGACCTTATCACAAACAGGCAAGTCTGCTTTGGTTTTAAAATGGCTTTTATTTCAGCAGCTCCATGACATACCTGTGTTTATTTACAAGATAGCTGGGTATTCCAACTGTCTGGAATAGTAAAATGGCTGAAGAATTTTTTTAAAAGGAGATTCATTCATGGATACTATCCAGATTGCTGGTTACATCACCTCTTTAACTCTCCCTTAATTGAGATGGGATTATACAACTTTTGAAACCTCAAGCGAAGATAAATACCAGGCTTCCCCTCAGGCACACAACTAAAAATGTTTGTGCAGGATCCTCTTTCCATGAACACAGTAAAAGTGAAGGAACTTGGTGCAGAATGCCTGTGCAGGTCTAGCTGAATTTCCACCCTTTAAATCTACAGTTTGACTTCCAGAGCAATGAACTTTTTATACTTTATTTATTTATTAATTGTGTTAATAGATAAGTGTGTATCTCAGTATCTCCTTTCTTTTTCCCCCATCCCAAAGGTACCCAAGCATTGTGCATAGGAGTGTAAGTGATCTCTCTAAAACAAAGCCCTACACACCAGTGAATTTCAAAAAGCACACTGAAGATGTTCATTCTGAGCCTCTCTTCAGAAAAGGGATCCGGCAGGTAAATCCGGATGCCCCTGGGGCAGGAGCTCCTGTTTTTGTGGAATGTAGACCATATGCTACCAGGTATTTTCTTGTTAATGAAAATGAGACCCGGAAAAAATCGCTGCGTTCTACCTCCCGACTCCAAAGGCACTTCAGGAAGGGGGAACCAGAAGGTATTATTGAGTTGTACCCACAAAACATCAGGAGATATGTGGTTCGAACACCACACCAGATGTATTCCCCTCATCCCAGCGAAGATGAGGAGGATGAAGAGGAACTTGGTAGAGAATTCATGAACAGATCTCATCGCCCGCGCTCACTGTCTGATCTTCGCCCAGCACCACGGTTTTACATTGGGGAACATGGTGATGGCCACATTCTTATGAGCAAAGATCTAGCCAGAGTGCATTACAAATCCTGGGATGATGGTTTTGAGCTAGACCTGGATAGGCCTCCATATGCTTATAAGAAAGTGCACCTGAACTACCCTGAGCCTCGTGTGAAACCAAAATCAAAGCAAAAGCTGGAGCAGTCTCTAACAGAGTCTGATTCCATCTCCATTGAATCCAGCAGTGATCCGCAGAATAGCGGCAATGACCAGTATATTCAAGTCATTCACAGCAAGGAAAAGTATCCGAAGCCTGGGTCAAAACTCAACAAAAAGAAACCAAAAAACAGTGTTGACCTAAATAAGTCTGAGCCTAATGAACTAGTATGCTCAAATGTCTGAGACAGCACCCCAGCCTTTCTGTGTCTTGAATGTACGTGAGCTTGTTGTAGTTGCTGTTTGAGGTCTACCAGAGTAACTATGGCATAATCTTTGCAACAACAGTGTATGTAGCCACTCAAGGTGGGAAAAGCATAGTCAGCCTTGTGTTTTACTGTTGATGGTATCCTGCTTTAATACCACAACTAGTAAGTTCCAAAATTTGGAAAATTACTCCAATTTATTATTCATTGCTATGCTGTTCAAAACCAAACCCCCACCTACTGGAAAACTGAAAGCTATGTACTTGGGGCACTTCCAATAAAGCTGTGCAGAAACATGTCGTATCAGGCTCTCTTTGTCTCTTTGACACAGTCACAGCTAAAGATGCTTCCACTGAATAAATTCAGCAGGTAAGTAGCTTCCTATTTACAGTACACCCTGATCGACCCTGCTTGAATATGGTGTATCTCCAATCAGCAATAGGTTGACTACAGAGAATGGTGAGTTTAAAAGTCTTGTTCAGTGTACTGCGCGGTCATCAGAGTTATTTGATAGTAGCAATACATGCCAGACTTCTGGATGAAATCCTACGTCTATTAATTTCCTGGCAAGATTCCCCAGTCCAGCCTCATAAGCTTCCCTGTGGAAAACTTTCTATCCATGGCTTCAAAAAACTCGCTTCATGACTCCTAATTTACTTTTATCCTGTTTTTTTAACACATCATTCCAATTTTTAACCTTCTTTGGATTCTGAAGATTGTTCCGGTATTTTGGGTTTGTTGTTTTTGTTTTTTCTTTTTCCTTCATGTTGATGTGGGTTACACAGGAATAAAAGGACCACTGGCCTTCAGCAAGAGCTGCCGTCTCCTTCCAGTTGGTTTCACCACACTGCGCCATGCCACCCAGGGCTGCATGGAAGATGGGCCTCCTGCCGTGTCTCGCTGGCCTCACACGGAGGTGTGACCAGCATGGCCGTATCACAGCCTGTCCGAAGTGGGTGAGTCCCAGCTTTAGGTAAGAGTACAGCACATCCTTTGCCCTGGCTCCCTGCCGGTTGTGAAGGCCGGGGGCGGCTGCCTGCGGCCTGGTGGCTGCGGCTGCTGCCTGACACGAGGGCCGGGAGAGCCACGCTTCAGTCACCCTCGGCTCTGGCCTAGCCTGCATGGGTGTTCTGGGCCTCGCCGCCCTCTCCCCTCCGTTAAGCATGCCGAACTTAACCGGCAGGCCCCGGCCCCTCAGGTGAGGAGGCGGTGCCGCCGCCATCGACCCAAGGGGGCGGTGCGCACGGTGGCCTCATAGGAGGCATCCGAGCGGTGGCTCCGCCTTCCCGGCCATGGACAACGCGCAGCTCGCCGAGGCGGCGGCCGAGAAGATGGGGTTGTACCGGCAGGACCCCAGTGGCTGGCGGGGCTGCCGGCGCACGGTGAGCGGGCAGGGCACAGCGGGGCGCTTGCGGAGGGCCGGGGGGCTGACCCGGCCCGGCGGCTGAAAGCTTCCCGTTTCCGCAGAGCGAGGTTTCGGTGTCATGGAGACCTTCCGCGGAGTTTGCTGGCAATGTGTGAGTACGCCCGGCGTCCCGCGTTTGGTTCCCGAGGCGCCGGGGTGAGGGATCGCCCCCAGTGCTGCTGCCGCGGGTGTTTGAGGCCGGGAAGGGTAGACCAGCGAGGTTTGGATTCATTTCATCCCACCGCAGGTACAGGGGAGAGGGGATCTTGCCTGCCAGCCCCATGGATGTCTGGGAATGTATAAAGCCGGTGGCCGGAGGGCTCAGGACCAAGTGGGACCAAAACGTGAAGGACTTTGAGGTCATCGAAGTCATCAGTGATGTAAGTTCCTTAAAAACCGTGCTGGTGTGATAGTGCAGCATGGTGTTCAAGGGCGCTGGGCCCTGCACCGACCTTCTGGCGTGCAGCCTGTATTAAATTCAGGGCAGTCAAAAATGCTTCCAGAAGTTGTACAGCCTCTGTCTGGATCAGTCTGGTGCTACTGGGATTAGAAATATTTTTTCTTTTACTTCTCTGTAAATTGTATATATTTGCTTAACAATGGCTTATCTTTCTGAAAAGAGCTACTAATATATTCTTGGCTAAATACTTCAGGCATAAAATATGTGTTTAACATTAAGTATTCCTGGACTACACTGTTGTTAGTTATCTTAGCTTTTCAACGTCCCTTGTGGTAGCTGGCCTTAATCAACCTGGAAGCAATGTGTTAGCACTCTGTTTTTCTCCATTAACCTGTCCATCAGTACACCATAGTGCCTTTTTAGCTGCGTCAGTTTGAGTTTGTTCAACAAAGGGTGTAACAGAACCCTTTGGTACGGTTTAGAAAGCGTATGTGAGAGAGTACCAGAAAATACTGGGATTTTTCTGCTGTGCTTTTGAAAGCATCAACTGACATACCTCTGTTTTGTGATTTTCAGGCTGTCTCTGTATGCAGAACCACAACCCCTTCAGCTTTCATGAGGGTTATTTCACCAAGAGAATTTGTGGATGTGGTACTGATGAAGCAATTTGAAGACGGGACAATGCTATCTGCTGGTAAGATGCTTGTGTTCGCAACGTGTTCACAATATGGTATGAGATAACCAGCAGGTACCAGAGATCAATATAAAATAAGAAGTAACGTTCCATAGATGTTGATCTCATCGTATTTTATCAGAAAAAGTATTAGTGGTCTATCTACATTGTTGTTCTTGGAGTCTATAAGTCATCTTAATGTTCAGATAATGATATTATTGGCCTGTGTTTTCTTCTCTTGCTATGATTTTGAGGTTGAATAAGTATTTAATTTATATAAAACTGGTGTATGTGTGTTTGTGTGTGTATGGTTTTGTTGTTGTTGTTTTAAGAATTTGCAAGCTTTCTAAAAGGAGTCCCATTTTAGCCTAAATCCTGGTTTTTTTCTACACTGCCTCTAGTTGGTGAAGTCATTGAATAGATGCACCACTCCTGTATGTTGAAATAATTGTTCTTGTGCAACTAAATAATTTTGATATTTAAAGGTCTGCCACTTCATGGAAGGGTGTTTATTTGTTCCACTTTCATCCTATTTAACTGTTACAAGTGAGTGCTTTTATTGCCCCATTGTTCAGCTGTCCCATTTTCCCATCCTGTTCAGGAATGCCTTGCCAGGAATTCATATACTTGGTAGAGTGCAGCTTCTCAGTAGTAAGTGGCATTGCATACCTCCGTGTCGTGGATTTGTTGGAAGTACTTGAATGACCTCTCAAGAAAAGCAGCGCCCTGAAACCACATGGGTTCAATGAAACTCCCTCAAAATGTCTTAATGCTTACTTCAGAGCTCAGTAACAATTGCTTCTAAATTAAACACTTCTTTGATTTCCCCATTCCATGACCTCTTCTGACCGCCTTTATAACACAGCCCCATGCTAAAAAGGTTCTACTTTCATTCTTAAAAATATTCTCATATAGTGAGTTTGCTTCTCAGCTGGTGCTTTGAGTACCAAGGACTCTTTTCATCATCTTCTGGGAAAATGACACTTCTCTTGAATGCTTTTTCTTACAGCAACCAATGTGGAGCACCCGCTGTGTCCTCCTAGACCAAATTTTGTGAGAGGTTTCAATTATCCCTGTGGCTGTTTCTGTATACCTCTTCCAGGGTAAGAAGCAATCTATTTGAATGTTACATATTCTAAAGCTCTTCTTATCCGTTGTGTGGTGTGTGTATATGGCCTCTTGGCAATGGCATGTTTCTGTCTTCCTTTGACTGGTAATCATTATGACTGAGTGCCCTTTTTGTTCTCTTTTTTTGTCCAATATTAGTCTGTCCTCATTTCCTAGAGGGAAGTCTTTAATATTACAGGATCCATCATCACAGTAGGATTCTCGTTGACTTCTTAAGCAGAGATTCAGCAGAACATACAAATATGGCCTTAATTTTTGGGAAATGAGTGTCTGGTTGTTTATTACATTGCCATAATTCATGAACAGTCGCAAACCTAATTTAGGGCCTAGTTTAACTGTAATTTGACTTGTGGGGATTGTCACATTCATTGAAATTTGGAATAAATATCTGTTGTTTGCTTAAAAAAAAAGCATTTAGAAGCATGTATAATCAGACAATAGATAAATGTCATTGTAAATTTCTTAATGCTCTTAAACCCCTGGCTATAAAAATCACTTCTATTGTCTTTGCAGGGAACCAGACAGGACTCAACTCCTCAGTTTCTTTCAGACTGATCTTGGTGGCTATCTTCCCCAAACAGTGGTGGATTCCTTCTTTCCAGCTAGCATAGCTGGATTTTACAGTAACCTGACCAAAGCTGTTAAGCAGTTAAAAGCATGACAAGACCAACTACTGACCTCACCAGCTGAGGGTAGGGAAAAACCTGGCAGCTTGAGGGTAGAAATAGGAAGTTGGCCTACAGGACTTTCTACCAGCAAAGATATTAGGAAAAGTGAAAGGGGAACAATGAACTTTAAAACCAGTGTTTTCGATCTGTCTATGCAAAGCAATGTATTCTTTTCTAATACTATATCCTTCATTTTCATAGAGAAATACCACACCAGAGGCTGGAAGAGTCCTGGAGGCAGCACTGGTGGCTGTCTGCAGGGAGATAATGTACATTTTGGATCTGTTCTTGGCCTCACTTTGTCTGTCTGTGAGGAGGAGCATTGCTAAAATCCACTTAGCACTACAGCATTAGCTTGGTGTAGGTCAGCCTGTTTTGTCTCTGAAGCTCCTGTGGAACAGTGGTCCTTCCTCAAAAGAAGAGGTAGCTCTTTTGCTGCCGGCACATTTAGACCTGCTAAGATGCTTCAATGGGTCCAAGCCAGCAAATGGTAAAAGCCAGAAGAAATTGGATTGTTGGAGGATCCTAGTTTGTTCCAGTAGACTTCAGTACTAATAGTAAATATGCCTTAGGTGGGTTTTTTTTTAATAAATCAAAGTCTAGCCATGCAAATGAATTTGTAGGTCAGTGGGTTGGTAAATAGACCCTGTTCTTTTCTCCCCTCTGTACCAAAACCAGTGATTTCCACAATGTTATGAAACAAACTGCACTGACATAGTGGCAGTAAATAGAGGATTAAGCACTTTACTTGCCATTTTTTAAACTGCACTTGACAATTTTTAACTGCACTTGAACATTTTTTGTTCACTTGTGGTGAGAGGTTGTAACGGGTAAATAATCTTTTTTATAGCTTTGTCTTGACAGGCCATGAGGATGCTGCTTTTTTTCTAAGACTGGTTTGCCTGACAGCAGTCTTGGGAAATCAGCTCCTGATCTTGTGTCCAGTGATGGGTCTAGCTTTTGAAAATACTTACAGTGCTGGTTATGGCAGGAATGTCAGATGGTACTGTGTATTATGTATAATTACAAAAGGAAAACTAATTGCCAAATTAGGAATTTAAATACAGGTTGTGATTTTAATGCTGTAACTCAGTAATTAACAAGGTTAATGTGCTCTGCTTTCTGTCCTAGTATTTACTTTATATTTAGTATAGGACATGAACTTGCACACAGTCTTCCACTGTGAATCTCACTCTGTGGAATCGATTTTAAAGTGAAACAGTTTTTAGTCTCCTTTGTATACAAAGATGTAAAAACTTGCATGCATGTGATGAAATAAATATTTTTTTTGCTACATCCTGCTGTTTTTCCTGGATCATCCTTTAAAATGGTTCCCCACCATTGCCCATCAAGGAAACTTAAGCCACCTAGACCTCCAGTATCTCTCTGAACTGAAGGGAATGGAAGGGGAAAGCCTTCACTTCCATTTACACTCCCCAAGAGCTGTAGGTAAAGGTGTTTTGGTGATAACCCTT